GTGTGTGTGTGTGTGTGTGTGTGTGTGTGTGTGTGTGTGTGTGTGTTAATTACTGCATAGTACAATTAACCTCAAAGGAACAGAGTCTGAAAAACACTTTTTCTACTGAGCTTTTTACCTTTTAAATACAGTAACCTAGAAGGGATTAAGGTAGAGATGGGCAGTTATATGTAGGGACATACCTAAATCACAGTGAGAAAAGGCCACAAAGGAATTCTTGTAGCCTTTTCATAGTGAGCCCTCCCTCATTGCTGTTAGGCTGAAGGACACTGGCAGGCCCACCCCTCACTGCTGATTGGCTGAGAGGCCAATCACTCGTCTTCAGACTGCAGCTTTGCATCTGGCTTTGTAAAAGATGCTGCTGAAACCCTACTGCTTTCCTGACTGGTGCCTTTGCTGAGTCTACATCACTAACTCAGCCTCTCAGTCATGCTCTCTCAAACCATGTGCTCTGTGACTGAAGGCATTGCTGTGCTCTTTTTGTATTCCAGTATGCCATTTTTCACGGTGATCACAGAAACCACTGGTTTTCATGGCTTCTGCAAAAATTGCGAAACCATGTTTTAAGTAGGTCCCTAGTTATATAGATTTAATAGATTTTTAGGATCAGAAGGGACCTCAGTAGATCATCGAGTCTGATCCCCTGCCCTGGGCAGGAAAGAGTGCTGGGGTCTTTAAAGTGTGTGTGTGTGTGTGTGTGTGTGTGTGTGTGTGTGTGTGTGTGTGTGTACTACTCACATATTATACATACATAGGCTCACCACCCTTCAATGCAAATGTGAAAGGTGGGCAGGACCGGAAGTCCTGCCCTTTAACCCCACCCCTTTCCCCTTGTATGGTGCGTGATGTCAACAGCCCCGCCCCCTGACCCCAGTCATGTGGTGTTTGACATCAGCAACTTCGCCCCCACCCCCAGTCACGTGGTGTGTGATACCACCACCACGTGGTCCATGACATCGGAAGGATAGCTCATGCAGACTCCCAAAGCCCAACCCCTAGGGCAGTTCTTGCAGCATGAGATCACGTGGTACAGTTATGACCTATCAGGTCCCAGACTGCTCTATCTTGCACATCCGGAGTCTGGTGTGCCTCTCTCTCTTTTAAGGCTCTTTCTTTGAATATACGCAAGGTCGGACCCTTCCTGCTTTGCCAGTTTGACCACCTTATCCAGGACAGCTCGGGAAACATGATCGATCACATCTTTGGCTATGTTTTGTGCTGCATTATTAGCGTGGGGCTTAATAATCTCCAGACCCGTTCTCAAAAGCGGAACAGCTTTTCTGAACGACTGTGTTGGGGTTTCTGGCTTCTAGGGGGGTCTGTTCCAGCAGAAACAGGGTTAATTTCCCTCTGTCCAGATCACCCTGCTTTACGTAGGTCAGGTATTTCTGAAGCACGGATGCATACAGTTTAGCCTTATCATATTCTGTTAACCCTGGCCTT